TTACAATTGGGCATAATTACACTTTTTCTTCAAAAGCAGTGTCGCGAGAAATTGCATATGTGATTGCATATAAAATTTTACACCCTGATTCCTTATTTCTGACAATTTTTTAAGCTATTCTAATTACTTTTAATGTTCGCCTTTAGTATCCACGAAGGATTCATCGTTGTTCTTCAGCAACACCATGCGCCTGACATCTTCCTCAAAAGTTTTGACCACCTCCTTCTTCATTTAGCCACCGCCTTCCTCAATTTCCTCGCCAAAGCCACGAGGTAACAAAATGGAATTTAGTTCTTTGTAATGTCGTGGTATCCATTTTGCAACTTACAGTAGTTGGACAGTCTCCGATTAGCTGTCAGCATGACTAGATTGCGTTACGTTTTCCTTCACTGCGAAAAGAAGAGGCAACCCCGCGAAAGAAAAATGGAAGGTGGGAAGGGGGGAAAAATAAACCTAATATTTGTGTGTCAATAATTCGTTTATTTAACCCTTACCCTCAAAATGTCTTAAATGCAGCGTCGCTTTCTTTGCTTGAATTTATTTTCCTAATAATTTCCTATTATTTGACTACTTCTATGATTCAGCAGTTAATGGGTGAATTTTAGATGTTAAACAGTTTTCTTTATTACAGAGCTGTTAGTTCCTAAAGTGCTTTCGATGTTCCTCTTTAGTATCCACGACGACTTCGTCGATGTTCCCCAAGAGCTACTTGCAAGCTGTGACGTCTTCCTCAAACGCTGAGAAGAATTCGTTCTTTATTCAAACACCGTCTATTTCTACTTCATTGTCAGAGTCGCAAGGTAAGAAAACGAAACTCTCAAATTCTGTTTGACGTCAAACGGCACTGCCAAGGCAGATAAAACATGACAACCCCGATGCCAGTTATCCATTAAAATTTTGTTATCCAACCATTGACGTCAACCACTCAGAAAGGGGAAATACTTTGAATGAGCAATAAATTTGTTTGTAATATCCCTACTGGACTTTCACTGAACTAAACAGAGACTACTATTGGTTGATTCTTAGATCTTAGGCATCGTCTTGATTCATTGCTATTTGTTGTTAGTATATACACACTCAGTGATCTTGGTAATTCGAGCAATCTGATTGGTTAGCTATCTCGGACTATGACGTTATATTCACCGTGCTAGGCGGTGAATATAAAGCAGAACAAAATCGCTGTCTTGAAGTGGTTGTTTTGCCAAAGTTTCATAGTAAAGCCTTTTTGAAAATACACGAATATCCAAGTGCTGATGACTTTGAAGGCAAGAAAAGACTTCATGGTGTTTAAACAGCGTGATTTATTGTGAAGTGGTTTACTCTAGCTGACTTTTTGTACGCTCGAAGCTATGTTTACCACTTCAGAGAAAAACGAGGTCTCTTTGTCACTGCACTGTCTCGCAAGACCAATTTTGCCTATAAATAGAAGTTAATTTATGCAGAAAATAGGAAGGCAAATATTTTTCGAAAATTGTACGTGCTAGCAAGTTAACAAGGTAAAGAACATTGGAGATAAACAACGCTCACCTTGATCGTAGCCGCTGTTGACAGCATTTGCAAGACGCTTCAAAGAAAACTTTCTCATTCACGGTGAGTTGACAACAACAAATAAAGCTCTACTTTTCTTCTCAGAATTGGGTAGTAATTTAAATTTTCGGCGTTTTCCTTTAAACCGTTGATGCTAAAGCTTACAAAACTCGATACAAAAAGATTAAAACTGCCATTTGCCATGCTTGAAGATACTGTAAAGATCTAACTTTTGCGCATCCACTGTTTACGGCTTTGTGTTTACGCATGAATTCACCCGTCAATCAAACTAATCGTTTTTTAATGGTTTCCTTTCTGATTCTGTTGAGATCACTTCGTGTGAATATACTAAAACAATTATTCACCTCAGGCTCAGTTAATATTGTTGCATAACCCCCTCGACTTCGTCTCGGGGATTATTCAACAATATTAAATTTGCCTTCGGCGAATAATTGTTAATTATAACGCCTTAATTTGTATTTTCCTCCTTAGTGTCCACCACAACCACGTCGTTATTTTCCGGCAACCACATGCAACTGAAATCTTCCTCAAAAATTGCAAGCAGTTTATTCTTTCTTAAACCGTCGTCTCTTTCTATCCCTATGTCAGAGTTACAAGGTATGAAAAGATATAAGACTTTACATTCTCTTTAACGTCGGTGCACTCTTTGTGTACTAGTAAGACCCATTCATTTGATATCAATTTTTCGTTGGCAGTTTCTAATAAAAATGAGAGAAGCACGAACACGCCCCGGGCCCATCTCGTGTAAAACATGCACACCATAAGCTAAAACTTCCCTCAGAGAATCATAGGGAACCTCATGAGTCAGAATGATTTGTGAGCGAGAGTATAGTTATGGAACCCGCGGCAGTGTTAGCTCAGTCAGTAGAGCGTGTTGACTGCAGAGCGGGACGTCGCGGGTTCAATTCCTGGGGCCGGACCAATACTCAGGGTATTAAAATAACCGAGAAATGAAGGTACTCCCTTTGCACTGCAACAGGCTAGACCTTCGCGTGGCTCGGATGACCACGTAAAATGGCGGTCCCGTCTCCAATTGGAGACGTGAAATATAGTGTCCCAATTAGTACTTTCGTGCTAAATACATTGACACTCAAATAAAGTGCAAGTACCCGCGATCTTGCAGCCGACATGTTTCAATAGGCGCCGTTTTGTTTTGTTATTCATCTAATAAATGAATTTTAGATTGTCCATTTCTTTATCCTAAAGCTATTAGTTCCTAAAGTGCTTTCAATGTTCCTCCTTAGTATCTACAATAACTTCGTTGATGTTCCCCAGCAACCACATACATGAAGTTGTGACGTCTTCCTCAAAAGTTGCGAGCTCTTCGTTTTTTATTCCAACACCGTCTATCTCAATCACTTTGTCAGAGTCGCAAGGTAAGAAAAGGAAATTCTTAAATTCTCCCTAACGTTAGGCGGCACTGCCAAACAACTAAACTGTGGCACCCCCGATGCCAATTATTCATTAACTTTCTATTACCTAACGATTAACTTCAACCGTCGAATAATAGAGAGTCTTCATAGTTTGTTAGACTCGTACTGGTCATGAAAAAATTAAGTGGAAGAATTAAGCTACACAGAAACACATTAAACCGCGGCAGGATTAGCTCAGTCGGTAGAGCGCTTGACTGCAGAGCGGAAGGTCGCGGGTTCGATTCCCGGGGCCAGACCATTACTGAGGGTCTTAAAATAACTGAGAAATGAAGATACTCCCTTTGCACTGCAAGCGGCGAGACCCTCGCGTGGCTCGGATGATCACGTAAAATGGCGGTCCCGTCTACATTAGGAGACGTAAAAAATAGCGTCCCCAACTAGCACTTTCGTGCTAAATACATTCACACTCAAATAAAATGCAATAAGTTTGATTTTACTATTGTAAGACTGTCATTGAACTAAACAGATCTTATCCAAGTACAAGGGGCAAGTGGGGGGGTATCTAGCACTTTCGTGCTAAATACATTCACACTCAAATAAAATGCAATAAGTTTGATTTTACTATTGTAAGACTGTCATTGAACTAAACAGATCTTAACCAAGTACAAGGGGCAAGTGGGGGGGTACGGGGGAGGGAGGTCTTTCTGAGTTTCTTCCTAGACGATAAAACATCAGCACCTGACGTTTTCAGTAGCTGTTCGTTTACCCCTCGCGCGCAATTTGAGACAAGCTTAGTGATGGCCAGTTACAATGGTTACTCGATGACGTCATAAGTAGCAGGTCATCAAGCCATTTTTGAGTGAAAATGCATGTTTTTCAACTTCTTTCACCAATAAAAGTAAAGCATGTAGATAAAATGATGCAAGTGCTTATTTATGTGTTATTTTACATGTCAAGCACAAAAAAACTACCATTTCTCGCGGATTTAACCTGATTTCTAATTCTTGGTAAAATCCAAGATGGCGGCCAAGATCGCAACCATTGCTGGTAACGTCACAAAATTGCAGCAGCGCCACCACCCATAAAATATACCCCATCTTGTTGAGAAGATCAAAGGCTTTCCACTGAAGGCAAAATCGTTTCGAAATACTGCAACATATCAAAAACTCTTAGGAGGGTTTCCGTCAACCCCTCCCCACTCGTTGTACCACGGTAGGGGTATGAATTTGCGTGTACGTCCGAGGGTTAAACATTATCTCCTTGAAACATTAGTATTTAATGTTATAATGCTTTGCATTTTTCTTCTTAGTATACACGACAACTTTTTCGTCGGTCTCTGGCAACCACATGCAAGTGGAATCTTCATCAAAATTTGCGGACACGTCATTCTTTATTCATCCATCTTCTGTCTCTATTCCCTCTTCAGAGTCAAAAGGTATGAAAGAGAGAGTTTTAAATTCACTCCAGTTAGATGCACTCATTTGCGGATATACATTTGATTAGATGGGCGAGTGAAGGGCAAAGAAAAAACAAAATGATTTTAGAAGAAGAAATTAAAGTTTGAAAAATATAATGAGGGGGTTTTCATCTAATTCCCGCGTCGTCAGTAACACTAATTTCCTTTGTATTTTCTTACGGGAGTTTTACACGGGTGGAAAAAGTTACCAAGAGGAATTACTCTGATATCTGACGAGAATCTGTTGTTGGTTCCGATCTTCAATTTTTCCTTGAAAATCCATTAATTTGAGAAGATGCAACAAACACTCGAAAGTGTGTTTTAGCACGATATCCAATACCTCGAAGTTTGTCAAAACGTTTCCTGTGTAGGTCGTCTTTTCATCTCTCTTTTCCTTCATTTTGATATAACATAAAACACTCCCTCTCGTGTTTGACATTCAGAGTGTTTTGCTGGACTAATGTCCATTACCTACCACAGTTGATGAATTACGCGATTTCGGCTGACGGTTAGTTTCTAAGTGATCGTATATTTAATGTCATATTTTATTTATAGATTTATCCCGAAATGATTCTGATTCTACAAGGCAAACAAATTGCCCTTCACAAGCTAAGTGCATAGAAATGGGTGACGGTTCTTGTGTGTGCTACTGCATCTACACCGACAAAACTTACTCGGGGATTGACAAGTGTCAAGGTAATAACATAAGGCCCCTCGCTTTTCCTTCGTCTAAACTTCATTTCTTAGAAGCACACGTCTCTACTTATTTGTGCTCTGCTTTTGTGTGTGCGGTTGGACCTCTCCACAACCGCCACTTTGGGTTCAGTTAAGAAAGTGGCCGTTGTCAGCGTTGCTGAACGGTTGAACACAACAGTCAATGTTTGGACCGTTCTCCAAAACAGGTTGCCGTTGTAGAGAAGTGGCTGTGGTGGAGAGGTAGCCGTTATTGGAGGTTTCACTGTATGTGTTTGTTTCCACGAATTGATAATGAAGCAGCGGAATAACATAATTATTGAAAATGTGATGTATAAAAAGACAGACGATCTTTAGCAGATTTTCTTTATTATTCAGATTGCAACGTGGCTTACAATTGAATAATTGCTGTCAAAAAAAAAAGATAAACCAAAGACTGAAAAAAGAGGCCTATGGGTTTATTTAAATAAAAGGCTTGAAACTTTGCACAGTTCCTTGAGATATTTCTGGAGCGATATCAAACGAGGTCGTCATTTCATTGTCCTTTCAATTCTAAATACAACCACAACTTATTGTCATCTATTGAGTAAAGGTATACTTCATTGCTTGAAGAAGAGCTGCGATGAAAACAGATAATTTTCATTTCTATCAAAATATGTATCTGCACTTTGCACTTGCACTTGGTTTTCTTTCCTTGCTTTGAGAAGATTTCGTCAATTTCTAGGCTCCCATGGCTTTAACAAAAGCTTATGAAAATGGTATTTCCTTAACTTTCCAATTTCATCTTCAGATATAGGAGGTGACATTCTGCCAGACGCATATATATACCAGGCCAATAAAAATTTACTTAACCCAGATGCCATAAAACAGGATGAAGAAAGGATGTTTCAGGCGACCGTAAAAAGTCGGGGAAATGTGTCAGCGCAGGTTTCCTTCAACTGGTTTGTAAGAGATGTGCAAGGTTCACCGTGCACAATTTCGCAGAATCGAACCCTCTTAGAAGGAAACTCCTCAACGTGGATTTTCAGCGGTGAATTATTATCTTGGGGCCTCAAACTGCTTGAGCTCGAAGTCTCACCTTTCAGCACAACTACAGCACGAAGAGACTTTGGGTTCATAAAAGTGGAGGAGCCACATCTTGTTGCTATGATTGCTGGTGGATACGAAAGCATTCGTTCTTCAAAATACCCGATCCTCTTCAATGGATCAGGCTCTCATGATTGGAAAGGTGGCAATACTGGCATGGAGTTTGTTTGGTCTTGTCTTGATGGAGGAAAACTTCCTCTATGTGTTTTCAACGGCAGAGATAAAGTAATAGTTCCTTCTGAAGTGGACAGGAAACTCGAAACAACATGTCCTCTCGAAGTAGGTTTTGAAGCAAATGGAAGTATTGCCTACTTGATGTATCCCTTGCAGGGACATGTTTACTTCATCAATCTGCTTGTGAGAGATCGGCGTCTGAGTCATTCTACAGCTGATTTTATGCAGGCCGTTTGTGCCTTAGAAGATGATGCAATAACAGTCGACATCAGGTGAACAATATCCATTGATCTGTTGAACGATTCAATAGAAAACTTGGCCCGGCTTAAGTTACGTTTTTACAACATTTATCTGAAAGGTTATATAAACATTATAAACTTATTGTGCATAGCTTCTTCGATTCACGTGAAACGCCAAAATAAATAATTTGTTTATTTTTCATTGAATAGAAAAAAAAGAAACAGCAATTATCTTTATTGATCAAAATGCCGTTATTTTTGTCGCAGTCTGATAGATATGTTACAACGTACACGTATGACTGTAGTAACTTAGTTGTTTAGAAGAGGCAACTGTAATGGACATCTTTAAAGGAAATTTGTTCGCATTCCAGTGGGTCGATGTAAAGCTCGTAACATATCAAGGCAACATTGAGAGAATGATGGTTGTTAGCATTACGACAGTATTGCTTTCAGTGACTTAAATTACATGATATTGTCGTTTCCGCCGCCAACACTGATGATGCGTCTGACTGGCGTACTAAGCTGCAACAGGTCCTGACTTAAAAAAGAAAGAAGTTTGAGACATGACTGGAGCTGAGGAGAGTTATCAGAAACTTCTGAAGTAATTTTAACTCAACCTCATATGTGTTTTTCTTTATCTGCAGATGTAAATATAACTGCAAACTGAAGGTTGTATCCGGCCATCAATTTGCCTTGACAACAAAAGCGATTGGCCTTCCTCTCAATTTTCCAAACGCCAGTTACACTTGGAAATTGTACAGAAAAGGAGCGGAAAGCAATGACTCCATCACAGTCTGGTACCTTAACAAGACCTTGAATTCTCTCACCGCCACAAAGACAATGAACAAGAACATTGTTTTCGCTAAGGATAAACTCCATGAAAGCTCATCCTACCGGCTGACTTTAGATGTAAAATTACCAAATGGAACAAGAGGCTGGGCGGCCTACATATTCGAAACAGCCTCTAAGCCCTCGGGTGGAGCATGTTGCGGCACCCAACTGGAGAGAGCAGCTTTAGGAGTTATTCTGAATGTCTCATGCATGGGATGGAGAGATGATCATGAACCACTCATATACGAGTTCTACCACATTCATATGGAGGAAGATGAAACACTGCCCCACATGCTATCGCACGGTGCAATACCGTATAATGAAGTTCAGTTACCTGTGTTTACTTCAGGTGAAACTGAAATAAAGGCAGTCATAATAAACACTTTAGGAGCTCGAGCCGAGGTTAACTTCACAGTGAAAGTAAGCTTTAGTTCTTCATTTCCATTACTATTATCATTATCGTCACCATTAAAAAAAAAAGGCTTGTTTATAGTGAAAGGTGCACTTAGCTTATCCAGCTAGTTTACAGGCACTCCACTCAAATATGTAGCATAATTCAAATACAACATTACAGGATCAAAAACCCCAACTGGTAGGAAGCAAACAGTTGGCTAGTGTTGCCGAGGATTTGAACTCGGGACGACCGAGAACAAATCCAACAAGTGGCCAAAGCGGGTCTCGAACACGGGACCGCGGGATTGCGAGTCTGACGTGCTGACCACTCGGCCACGCTGCCTACTATATGGATCATCACCGGTTCACTCGTCCATAACCCACACATAGTAAGCTATAACCATTCATAAGGAACTGCTTAACAGGATTGGCTGCAGCATGATTATATCCTTAGTTTGAGTTTAATTTGCCTTTAATTTGGATAAAACAAATTGCAATAAAAATTGAACCAAGGATAAAATTGTGCCAAACCATCTACACTAATTTTTGTGTTACTAAATTCTAAAATTAATTCTACGTCTTTGCGTGTAACAGTGTCGTAAGGGAAGTATATTGGATTTGGAATCAACAGCAAAAATCAGTGTGGGATCAGGGATCACAGCGCCGGGAACTGGGATCACAAGCCGCGGGATTGGGATCAACAGTATTGTAAGGGGATCAGGGATATAGTTCTCCCACATAACAAGAAAGGCCACAAAATTCCGAAATGCGCCTTAAGTGGAGGGACCTGCTAATTTCTTAAAACTCAGTTGTATTTTTTTCTGTATCATTTCGATCCGGCACTTAACTGTATGCAATCCTATCTGCTGGAGTAACAGACTCTCTGCTGGTTGACCTGTTGACTCAGTTTTTTGGAGCTATAATACATTAACGTGACTAAGCTAACGAATTGGTCTTTCTGCCGAATACCGATTCTGGGAAAAAATTCACGCCATAGACATTGCCTTTTGCCAGAGTAACTAATTTCCCTCTTTCTAAAACTATCTTGCGACGATGAAGCCAAGCACCCTAAACAATATATTTAACAAAGATTTCGTGAAATGTACAGACATGCATGGCCAAAGGGCCTTTTGCATCGCCTGTCGCCTTACTAAGAGAGGCAGCTATTCTTATTGACAAAATCCTCTGATCACAGCACTGTCTTTTTGCAAGTCCGGAAACATACCCTGGTATAAATATCCATGATATACACATTTAAGATACACTCTCTATCGATTCTCTATTCTCTTTTTTTATCACGGACGTTCTACATCTTCCTACATTGTGCCCAGTGGAAAATAAATTGGTTTGGTTTCTTTTATGCAGGTTATGCAACCATCTTTTCGGAATGAAACGGACCATGGATATAAAATGTTTGAAGAGACAGAAGCTTTGTTTGACAAGTACCTTGATAGTGGAAAACCTTATGATGAGGCGTGCCAAGTGGCACATTCCTTACTGGAGTTTGTTGAATTGTATATCGATGAGCCGGAAATATCGTGGCTGACAAATGATCATGTTAAAAATGTACGTTTTTGTCAAATTTTATACCTTGTACAACTAGTTCTTGGTAACAGTACAGTGAAAATTTGTCCCCTTAAACACCCAAGGCACATGAGAATATGGTCATGTTTAAGAGAGTTCGTCAGATAGGAAACGGTGGTAGTATACACAGGCTGAACAAAAGAAGGGTTTCTATGTGCTTTGCGAGCTTTTTTTACTTTTAGAATATAATAAGGACACATGAAATATAGCCAACTCTCTCTTAGCGGACACCTGTGGACGGTCCTTGCAATTACTTAGTCGTTTTCTTTGAATCTTGCTGAGGTGGATACTTTTGTCAGATGGACACCTCCCTAACTAAAACGGACACCTTGAGTTGTTCCCGCCGATCTTCAGTCCTTTTCCATGGCCTACTATAAGAAGTACATGGAAATTTAGGGCAAGGACCAACCGCGTCCATTAGGGAGAGTTGATGATACATGGAGAGCATCGATATAACGCCAGTTTGACAAGGTGCAGGTGATAGTCCAGGTGAGTGTGGCCACGTGGACGATGTTGGTGATCATCTTTTTGCAAAAAGTGGTCTAACGCTACATTTACTGTTACAGTTCCGCTAAACTCGTCTATAGAAACTTGATTTTCTGCGCGGTTGCTGTTTGATCAATGTGCATTACGGCGAGTACACAATTTCTGCATAACGCTTTGATCTGAAGAAATAAATTCGTTGTTAATGAAATGAAATGTAGTTAAAAGACGCCACTTTGTCCTACTTTTCACTAAAAGTTACAAAGTTTCGATCTCACTTACCTCTACAATAAAACTATATTGACCAGAATAGACAAAGCTTTTAGAGAAGCACATATACCAATTTTTTTCTACGTTGAAAACTGACCGATAGATATCCATGTTTATTAAATAAACAACAACTTCTTAGCGTCAGGACGAAATTTTTAATGCACAAAATTACAAATGCACGATACATAATCGTGCATCGAGGCTCCATTTTCGATCGTTGTCATTTTGTGCATCGTGCTTTTGTCCTTGAGGCTTCATTTAAGCACAACGAATGCGCCATTTAAGCAGGATGAAGGCACCTTTTAAGCGTGATAAGCCATTTAAGGGCGAAGAGAGAGGTACGAGAACATCTTTAGAACAAAACGTACTCGTAATTCAAATTGTGAAGTTGAAAATGCTTCGGTCATACAAAACTGACTTTCGGTCAAGCTTAAATATCCCAGTTTACTGTTATTCATTCTTTCTCTTTTCAACACCATAGTTTTTTTCTCAGATGACACATCGACAATTGTTTGAAGAAAGGCTTAACCCTTGAATTTAGGCACGACCTAAGGCTCGATAAAAGCACGTTTAAGGCTCAATCAAGGCACGATGAAGGCAAGATCTATGCACCATCAATGGAATTCAGGCTTGATGCACGTTTATCGGCTTCTTATGCGCGACTATCGTGCAAGCACGATGGACGATGACAGAATTGAATCTATTTTGTTACGGCTGCGATCACCTACACCGTGCACTTAGCCGTGGACTCTTGAATAAGAGGGATATTGTTGACAGTGACTGACATTTTTAATATAAGTCACATTTTTAGCGTCCGTAACCAATACATCACGGTTTAATTGACAGACCATCACTAACATCTCGACTTATATTAACTGATGGGCCAGGTTATTATGACGAACAACCTTACTATTAAGGACTACACTCGCCTCGACAATCACTTTCCACCTATCTAATCCCTTGGTGGAAACAAGTTCTGAAACCGCCACTGAGGTGTGATCCCAGATCTATCGTAAAACTAGCCATACAGTGACTGTCGGGGGTCTAACCTTGGCAACTGCGAACTTAACTATCCCACTTTCTAGCCGAACATTCATATGTTTTAGGGGGCTCCGCCAGATCCGTTGATCAACCAATTTGTTTTGCTCAGGACCCTGCTCATGCCTGTTGTTTTTCTATACGCTTTGCAGCTCAAAGAACATATAATAAAAAGGTTATTTGCAATAAGAGCCACAAACCTTCAGACGATTCTTCAGCTTTCTTCGGTTTTGAAGGAGGCCACTGCATTTTCAGACGTAGAAGTTTCTCCAGAGAGCATGGTAATTTTCCACTTAAAAATGCACTTAAGTGTAGACGGGGTTTACTTTCTAATAGAGTGGTATTAAGGGGGACCAAAGGTTAGACTTGAATCCCTGAAAACTGGTTTATCTCACACGAAAGAAAAAAGTACAGTCTTCAGTCGATTACGTTACACAAACAGGATAGCCGATCAATGATATAAAGCGAAGTATCACAGGAGGAGACATTCAAGTAAACACAACTCACTCATATAATCATATCTGATCTCTCTCTCTCTCTCTCTGATCTCTTTAACAAGACTCTCTTATATACTATCGGCACCTTAGATTACGTCACCGGCTGGATGTGGCAAATATTCTTTAAATATCTAGAACTCACAACTCCACAGTAAGCAGAGAGTTCTAGAACGTTCTTATGAGTAAGTCGTCATTATTAAACAATGCACTGGTAGTACATCTAGAAAGTTTGATTGCATTACACAATATCGTTACAGATACAGTGTTTCACTCGCGATCGCAACGTTTTATAGCAGCTTTCGGTTATACTGAATTAGATGGACACTGGTGATATGAAGCACCTTGGCCGAGTGCCATTTTTTTTTCTTTTCTTTTTTTTTTTTTTAAAATTAACCCTTGCACTCTCAAAGGTGGCCAAATAAAAAATTCAAAAAAATTCCAAATTTTGTTTTATAAAATACTGAAGAACAAATAACACCATGTGAAATGTCTACCAGAGAGGTTTCATTTGAATGGTCACACCACAGAATTTATTTTTTTTACACAGTCTCAAAAGTGAGGTCAGTGAGATATTCGCACACTTTGCGTACCCTGGGAGCAGAGGCCCTTCGATCTTCCTAGATAAGTCTGGACTTTTCTACGAAGATCGAAAGGCCTCTGCTCCCAGGGCACTCATTGCGATGCTAAAACGTACAATCCTCATTTCCATGACATCCTTTTGAATTTCAGAGAACTGCATTACGCTCTCTCGATATGTGGGTATCTGTTTCGGAAATACGAGTAAAGAAGGAGGAAGCAAAGGATCTCGGTCTTGTCAGGGATTTAACGAGGATGTTACTTCATTGCTCAGGAAACATTCTTCAAGGAACGGCACAAGAAGAATCCCTTAACGCTACTGAGAGAGAAGAGGTGAGACATCTTTTGGGGGTTTGATGCATAAATATTGGACATGTCATTTACGATTGTGCGAGTGTTTTGTTCTGTTTTTCAGTTACCACTAAACGTATTCATTCTTGCCAGAGACAATTTATCCCTTTTACAAAGGGGTCCAATTTACTCCAGAGACTTCAAGGACAAGTTATTCCTACCTGCCTACCTCTAACTAGCTCACATTACTCGTAGTCGTGGTGAATTGAACTGCAAATTGTCCTTCGTCTTCGTTTTTCCTCTATGCTTTTATACGTGGATGATTGAATAACCCAACGAAGAATGGTCATCACCAGGTTTTTCTTGCAGATGGTGGAGCTGTCGAAAAGTGCTTTGAAGCTGAATGAAAGAATCTGCGACGCTGAAATCTCGACAAAACTTCCAGGCGAAAGACACAGCTCTTTGAAAACAATCCATAAAGATGTATTTGTTGGCGTTCTGGATGCGAGTGACGTTAGTCTTTGGCATTTCGAAGAAGATGAAATCAGTGTGATATTTCCATATCTCAGCAATAGCATCAGTCAAGAAATTTTTGGCGACGCACAACAGGTGTCTTTCCAAGTAAGGGTGCATGTGCAAATGCATGGCCATATACTAAATACAAATTTTACCAAGCAGCAAAGAGGTTTCATTTTTAAATGTTAACTTCAAGGAATCTTGTCCACATACGCAAAAAAAAATGAATGAATAAAATAAAAATGTCATATTTCCATGATTTTCTAAGTGTGAAAGGGTTCTATTGTGCACATCTTAAGGTGTGATGTCCCTTTCCAGCGCTCACAATTCCAAGAGTCAAATCAGACAAAAAATGAAAGCCAAAGCTCACCTGAGATGCAGCTCCTATAAGCCTATTGTCAGGGTAAAAAGAAAACACTGTCGATTTTTCTTATTCATTTTCTTTAAGATTATCAACTACAAAGTAAACCCATACACTGTACAGCAGTCAGTTGACGATGACATCAATTCTCAAGTGGTCAGCCTAGTATTAAAGGACGAAGTTGGTCAAGTCATTAACGTCTCGAATTTGCATGGAAACATCTTGCTGACAGTCCCTTTGAAAAAGACTCGAAATATAACTACGCCTCCTGTGGACGCCTACACAGTTCCAGATGTTATGGTGTACAGGGTGGTCACTACATACCATGAAAGTACATCTCTAAGAATCTCGCTGACACTAAAGAGGCATGCTCCTATCGAAGTTTATGTCAAGTATAGCAGCAGGCCAACCAAGACAAATTACGATCATGCTTCAATTTTGCAAAAAGAGGCTTGCCAAAACAACTTGCAATTTTGTAATGTAAGCCACTACTTTTGGTTTAATGCTGACCGACCTGGACAGTACTTTGTTGGTCTTATTGAAAGGCTGCTAGAAGAGAGTTCTACCTCACCGCTGAACTCCCTTGCAAACGGTGTGCCATTTGTCAATTTCAGAAAGAGACGAGTTGCGAGATCTCTCGAAACAATGAAAAACTCCTATGGACATCAGTGTGTGAGGCTCAAGGAAGCGCCAACACAGGAACCGATGGTTGAAAACATCACGCGTTCCTTGCCTCAATACGATCCTGAAAAGTCTTTTAACTTCACCTTAGAAGTAGACGTGGCAAGATGCCTTTACTGGTCTGAAGACAAAGAAGAGTGGATGGGTGAAGGATGTAAAGTAAGTAATGGCAATTATGTCAACACCCACTAAGTTGTAGGGCTGCCTAAACCCGTTCGGAGAACATGAAACGCGATCCTAGTAGTTGGCTTAAGATAACAACACAACCATTAAAAACATGACGGAAACACTATACCCACAGGAGTTGCTGGAAATGATTTTTTCATCTACTTTTGTTTATTTTAATTGTACCTTAATCTGCCTGCAGCTGCGTTGGACAACGTGACATCAACAACCTTTTCTAGATAAAATATTACCGCTCGATAATATACAGTCAAACCCAGCTTTAGGGACACCCGCTTAAAACGGACACCTCAATATAACGCAACGTCCGTGGAAAGAAAGCCCCCCACATGTTCTCTAAATTAACCCGTCTACTACGGACACCCCGTTAATACAGACCGTTTCTATGGCCTCTCAGTGTCCTTCATTACCGGTGTTTGACTACATTATAAAAAAGGAAGCTTAGGTAATTTAATACAGATCCTGCTTATTTTACAGGGCCCATCTAGATGTCATAGTAAATTCGTTTCATTTGTCTTCACTTTTTAGACCTCACTTTTTGAAAACACTTATCAAGTGGCTCTTCGGAAAATCCTAGATTACGCTATTTCGTATAATTTTATTTCTTTTATGGAATAGGCTGGCAAGAATTCTACTCCGACTGCATTACAATGCCTTTGCAATCACCTCACATCGTTTGGAGGCTCGTTCTTGGTGAAACCAAACAAAATAGACTTCTCTCAAGCTCAAGTGAGTTTTGAAACGATTAACGACCCTTATGATGTCTTGGTTCTTGTGGCAGCACTGCTCGTAAATCTTTTTTACTTGATGTCATTTATCCTTGCAAGAAGAGCTGACAGAAAGGACTTAGAAAAGGTAAATTTAGAAGATTAATTGCAGCACCTATATCCAGAAATGCACGCAGAAAAAGCCCAAGGGTTGGCAAGAATTTAAATTAGATTACAAAAGGTGCTCCTTGTAAAGTAGCGAAGTTGGCAAAAAGGGTGAATCTGCGAAAATTTACTATATTTAGTGAATACAGTCAAACCCCGGTAATGCGGACACTGAGGGGACCATAGAAAGTGTCAGTATTAACTGGGTGTCCGTAGTAAGCGTGTTTAATTTAGTGAAAATGTGAGGGCTCTCTTTCCACGGTCCGTAACATTGAGGTGTCCGTTTTAAGTGGGTGTCCGTAAAGCGGGTTTTGACTCTATTCAAACTGGATGCCAAACGGAGCCCATTGGAAAGTGACGATTTAGACGAAAATGGCGAAGACGACAAAAAATGGTAAAAACCTGCCAGCAATGGTGAAAATGGCGAATATGGCAAAAATCGGCAGAGGGTTGGCAAAAATTTAAATGAGATTACAAGAGGCGCTCCTTATAAAGTGGCGAGGTTGACAAAAATGGCAAACCTGGCAACAGTTTGCCATGGTTTTGGCAAATATTCTAATTGGATGGCAAGAGGCGATTTTGACGAAAATGGTGAATACTTGCCAGCAATGGCAAAAATGGCGAATCTGGCCAAAAACTACCAGATGGTTGACCCAAATTTAAATGACATTACAAGAAGCCTCCCTCGTGTTAAATGGAAACTTCTTACAGTACACTTTATATAGTACATTTGGCCATGATACAAGGCCAGGGTTGCAGCAACCCTTCCAATTTGTATCTTTCTGCGAAATACCCCAATATCACTTTGTTTACCAGCTTTTCTGGACATAGGCCTGCCCAGAGGGAATGTGTACGAACGGGACTCAGGTCCCATGCGGGGTGCCATCCCTAGCCAATCCCGCAACCCGTTAAGGTTGGCCACACCACCGGGGTCTACAGCCCCTACTCTTTTCAAAAACTGATTTGGGTTCTTTTACGTCCCACAATAACAAATCAGTGAAAGTGCTGCGAGACAGGACCTATGGTTTTTCGTCCTTATCCGAGAAGACTAGAAAGTCTAATTATTTGCAGATTTCATTAATAAGGTAGCACTTTCTTCTCAGTTATTTAAAGACCCTGAGTATCGTTCCCCCTGGGTTCGAATCCGCGACCTCCCGCACGGCAGACCGGCGTTCTACCAACTGAGCTAACCACGCGGCAGTAAATTTAATGTATTTTGAGTCAATCCTTGTTCCTCAACTAACTGCGGAGGGATTAGCTCAGTTGCTAGAGCGCTTGACTGCAGAGCGGGAGGTCGCAGATTCGATTTCCGGGAACGGACCAATACTCAGGGTCTTGAAATAACTGAGAAATGAAGGTACTACCTTTGCTCTGCAAGTGACTAGACCTTCAAGTGGCTTGGATGGCCACGTAAAAAAGAAGTCTCGTCTCCAGTAGGAGACTTCAAAATAGTGTCCCCAATTAGTACCTTCGTGCGAAATATATGACACTCAAATGAAGTGCATTTTTATTTTAGGTAAGTGCAGTGATATCTATACCTTCAACCGAAGATGCTGTTCAGCGATATAGCGTCTCTGTTACCACCGGAGCGTGGGTAAACTCCGGGACCTCGGCAAATGTTTCCATGATTTTGCACGGAACTGAATCATCCAGTGGCGTCATTAAGCTAAAAACAATCCACCATGAAAACGAGAGTACTTTTAGTCGAGGAAACACTGACAACTTTCTTCTTGCTGTTGATAAGCCGCTGGGACATTTACATAAAATCCGTATTGGCCATGACAGCTCTGGAGAGTGTCCCTCTTGGTTTCTGAACAGCGTTTCTATTACGGAAATTGAAACAAACTCCAGATGGATTTTCCCTTGCTATCGTTGGCTCGCCCTAGAGAAAGACGATGGAAACACAACATTAGAACTCTTTGCCCTGAACGCAAAAAAAGGTCGTGACTTCAAAAGAGAGTTTCACAGTGCCAGGGTATGTGGTCTCGCAAATGATCACCTTTGGTTCTCTGTTGTCACTAAAGAGCCTAGGGATACGTTTACACGTGTGCAACGAGTGACTTGCTGTTGGTTTTTTCTGCTCTTGGAAATGCTAACGTCTATAATGTTTTACATTGAGGATACTGATACAATAGAAACCGTAAATGTGGGTCCTTTAAAGGTGAATGAAAGGGAATTTAAAGTTTCTGTGTTCAGTGCTTTAATTTGCTTTCCGCCAAGCTTCCTTTTTGTGTTCATGTTTAGCAAGAGTCGACGCTCGAGAACGCGTATTACTAATGGCACTAGCGCTGCTTATGAAGGAAATGAAAAGTTCGTGCTTCCCCATTTCTTTGTCTACATCGCTTGGTTTGTCTGTGTCGTTGGTTCATCGGCGGCCGGGACTTTCATCATTGTCTATTCGTTACAGATGAAAGGAAAAACTTCAGCACGTTGGCTGTCTTCAGTCTTCTTGAGTACCATTGAAGACGTTTTTGTTTCCCAACCAGTGAAAATTGTCATTCTTTCTGTTCTTCTGGCATTGCGACTCGCAAGTAGAGGAAAGCATGAAAGGAACCATGATGAACGATATAAAGTCGATTGTGGTGACTCCCAAGTACTGTTCACTATGTCTGAGGACGAAGTAGAGCGTAAACGGAAATACAGGGTTACCGAGAGAAAGACCAACATATTTCTGAGAGACATAACGTTTTCGTGTGTCTTCATAACTCTCCTCATGTATGTATGCTATGGTGATAAAAGTGAGAACCGATATCACATGGCTGAATCCACAAAGAATGTTTTTGTTAAACTTGATAAGGTAAGAGAAGCCGCTTCTAGAACAATATCGTACTTTCAGGGCCCATACAAATAACGTTCAATTTAATTAAGTTGGGATCGAGCCTTTTTGTGATGTGAGAGATGATTTGGCCAATCAACCCTGTTTAGTCTCTGTACGGCATTTTTTTCCGCCCCTCTTGGTCAATAGCGCTTTGCACTAATTACGTCACGAATTTCTGGTCCCTGCTGTGACTCAGACATTGAAACTCACCAGTCTAAGAGATTTGCATGGGAAAGTCACTTTCGCCAACAAATTTTCGTCGTCTTTGAATATTTTTATCGTCAAAAAAAAAAAAAAAATCCAGCATGGTTTCGATAACATAGTATATCCTGAAAATAATCAACGTGTGCCAAGACAACGTTAAACATGGAAAAACTGTACAGATGAGTGATTTTATTTCTCATGCGGTGTCATTACTGTGGGTAAAATTATCTTACGGCATTTTACTAAGACTATGTATGGAGAGCAGGGCTTCAGAACTGTTCACAAGACGGTGCATTGGGTTAAAATTTATAGGCAAAGGTTGCTCAATTTTTTTTCGAGTGCTTATGTTACCCTGCTTAGTACTACAGGATAGAAAGTACTGTATGGAACCTGGCCTGGCCGCACAATAACAGAATTTCCGGTATGTGCTAATAGTGCTAATAGTGTGCTTTTCTCCTTAGAAATTCTGCCACAGGCTTGCGAGAAGCACATACAAACTCGATTTTCTCTTTAGCAATTTCGGTTTTGGAGCATTGCACAGCCAGAAATAACGTTATGTCATGTTTCTGTGCGTGGGGTGCTATCTGAATAAGACAGAGCTATGTATCCGATTTCGGTAGCCTGCTTTGATCAAGTCGCTTTATTTTCTGATTTTAACCGTTTATTTGAGTTACTTGGACCAGGTTTTGCTCCCTATAGTAGTAATGCCTTTTATATTCTAGACTAAGGCCCAAAAAACATGTTAAAAACGCTCACTGCGAATTTTATGAACAATTTTAGTGTCGGAAACACTTGTTGCTCATGCAAAGCCTTTGAGTAGAATGCAAAGTTTGTTTGAGTCACGTGGGGGATCTAAGGTGACAAAACCTATTTTTAGTAATAGTGCAAAGCACTATTCACTTCGGTGACATATCCGAGACGCTTGGCCCACGTGACCCGAAACGCTTTTGCCGCGCGGAATAACGAGGCTTCGGGACTAGGCAAAAATCAACCCATTATCGGCGTAATCTCATGATCCATGGTGCTGACTAAAAGGATGAAAATAGCATCCCTGAGAAGCAATCTCCTTGCCAAAGGTTGCGGTCCTTTTTGTCAGCACCATGGATCATGAGATTACCTCGGAAATGGGTTGATTGGTCTTCCTTTTCGTGCATCTGTGCATTTTCTTGCGGGGCATGCCGAGACCCTGTGGCTGACGTTAATCGCTGCTAAAGTAAGAAACACATTGCGTTCATGTATGCATAAGTATCAGCGCTTGAATGGCTAGGAAATGTGCCTAAGTGTCGTTTCAGTGGCGTTTCAAAGTCTGCCTTGGCAGATAGATCCATCCCCTTACCTCCAACCAAGTATTGAACAACTTATTGCTGTTGCGTTGTAATAAGATGAAAGCTATAAGAACGTTTCTTGCACATATGCATGGAACTGCCACTCTTGTTTGCATCTTAGATTTAATGCAGTTTATGTGCTCATGCACGCACGGGTATTTCGTACCGCACAACGGTACAAAAACCACAAGCCTTGAAAGTAAATGGAGAAGTAGGCAGTGAACTTGAGTTATACTCATTGGGGCATTTAAGATATGTACACCGGCATAGTACCACTACTTAACAATGTCGGTAACTAATTGTGAGGTGTTATGCGTTGATGGATGGTCTGCTAAAGTTCCCCAATCTGTTTTGTAGATAAGGGACAAACCTCACTTATGGAAATGGTTTGAAGATGTGTTGATTCCAGCAACCTTTGCAAGCGAGTGGTATAATGGACAGAAAGAAACAATCACAGAGTATACTGGAACCAAACGGTCTATTCTGATCGGCATGCCACGTTTGAGACAACTAAGAGTATTAAAAGGTAGGTACAAATGATTCAGCTATCTTCACTCTTATCGGCGACAACAAGCAACCTTCCACCTTTGGGACGTAAAGGGGGCGGGGATCTCAGATCTGGGCAGTGCCTCTGATTGGTTCAAGCAAATTTCCCACGAGGCACGACCAATCGGAAGCACTACCCAGATCTGGGTGGTGACTCTTCATCAGTATGGAATTTCTCCACATTAATACTAATTTTAAATCATTGTCAGTTGATGATAATGACTCTGAAATTTTAACAGTCCCTGATTTAAGCTAGTCTGATTCTGATTAACCAAGTGAAAATATTCGCTCAGTTCATTACTTTCTTTTTGTGTAGATTCCTGTGTTGTTCCTTACGAGTTTGCTGATTCCATTTCGTCCTGTTACGATTTTTACGACGAGCATAACGAAGACAAAATGGGTTGGAACGAACTATTGAATAACTCCTTGCGAGACTTGACCAACATTGGTTGCACAGAAAACTGGAAATATAGGACAGATGAGGAGCTAGGTGCCCATAAAAGTCTAGGACAACACGCTCTTTATAGTGGTGGCGGTTACGTTGCCAATTTAGGATATGATGGCAAAACTGCCACTGCGGTTCTACAGGATCTCCATTCCAACGGATGGATAGATCGTCAAACCAGAGTTGTAATGGTCGAGCTTTCTACGTTCAACGTTCCCTTTGAGTTATTAGCGAAGGTGATTATATATTTTGAGATGCTTCCGTCGGGCTTTTTAGGAGTATCAATTGATACCCAGGCCATGCCATTATTTGAAAAGAATCCTGTCTATCAAGTCGTTTTTCTTGTTTTTGCGTTTGTTCTTGGTTATTATCTGGTGAGTGAATGCATCAGGGTTTATAAGCTAAAGTAGTCATACTTCTCATCGATATGGAACTGGCTTGAGATGTTTCAAGTTATAAGCGCAACGTTAGTCATGGCATTTTTTATCGTAAGAGACATAGAGATAATAACACTTTTGCGACAAGTCAAGGCTAATCCATTCGCTTTCAGTAGTTTTGATGATGCGTTATTTTGGTTCCAGATTGAAGAGTACATGATCTGTATCGCAGTTAGCGTTGCCGCTCTCAGACTTTTGAGACTTTTGAAAATCATCAGGCTTGTTATAGAATTGTTTCTCACGATGAAGAAGTCTTTGAAGCCGTTCATGAGCTTTTTTGTAATATACGCCATCGTGATCTTCGCATATGGACACACAGGAATCCTTCTGTTTGGCAAAACAGTGTTTATGTTTTCATCATCCACGCGAGTTTTAATGTCTCTCTTCTACATGAGCCTTGGACGTCCACCACCGTGGTCGGAGTTAGAGCAGGTGAATGCCGTATTTGCCAGGCTATATTGTCAATCTTTTATTTTTCTTTTTATGATAATTGTAAGCAACATGTTCATGGCAATTTTAAATGAATCTCAAACTGAATCCAGAAGTATTGCCAAGGACAGCAACGACATAGAAGTGGCTAATTTATTACTGTTAAAAGTTTATAACTTTCTTGGTATACAAGGTGAGGTTTCGGCATCTGAAAATAAAGAAGACGAAATATCGAGAAAAGGTCCAAAACGAGAACTTTTTTCTGAGGCCAAACATCCCTGTGAAAAGGAAGTAGAAAAAACGGAAATTCCAGTGAGAACTACATCTGAGAGAACTACTCTATGCATGTCTAAACGGGTGTCCCCAGAAAATGATGCTAGCAGTCTACTTGCTTATGGCCTGCCCTCTGTTTCAAAAGGCTTAATGTACGTAACAAGCAGTCCCTCAGAGGAATTGGAGGTACTATCATTTGGATATCTCTCAGAATTAACTAAACGAAGCTCATTCAATGGACCTAAAGTGTCTTCTCCTATTTGGGAAAATGAGGGTCTCCAGGAAGTCGAAGATCAAAATGAGTCCTCGGGTACATTCCGTTATTCTGTGTACCCACCTGGTTCTACATTGTCACTACCCTCTTGGAGCTCGTGTCAATCTCAAAAGCAGTCATCAGAACGTCTCCACAGTTCTCTATCACCAGACATAACTTATAACATGTCTCCCACTTTGTGTAATTCATTCAAAGGGCAACGGGAGGCTCCAAATGCTCGTCTGCCCTTTCCTGTGTCACACAGGTTAAGGGCATTGCCACCTTGTATCATTTCAGGCGATCGACGGAGTGAGCCAAACCCTCACCACCAATCGGCTGCAGAGGAAAGCCATGAACTTGCAGCTGCATCGACTGTTTCGGTGCCAAACAATGTGTCCAATTCAAAGACATTCATACATTGTGATCCAATGGTAGGTGGACGTGAACTCCACAACCTGAAGAGCAACACTGGTCGTACGGGGCACTTAGTTCGGGAGAAAAATTTCAGACATGTAAGATTCGCTGCAGGGAATATAAATAAAGCTGAAGTCGACCATACCCATACTCCGTCACTCACAACAAGTACTAGTTGCGAGAAAACAACTGATGACAGTAACACACCAGCAAGTTGTGCTGTCAAATCAGACGGAACCATTGCTGTAACACAAACACCTTTTCCGTCATCCACAATTCCAAGGGCAAAGATGGTCGATTTTGACAAAGTCAGCGAATGGATGAAAAAGGCAAATGTCAGTGTTAATAACAACACGGCCTCAACAGGGTGCCAGACGGATGGGTTGCGCTCTGCAAAAGAGACGAGCACGTTGGGTATCCCAGTTGTCATTGACTTTGATGAAGTAAGTAAATGGATGAAAAGGATGTCTCCTATTGCCACTGGTGCTATCCACCGCGGTTTCACATTGGGCGAAGCGATGAAAATGAACGGGAAAACAAGAAAGTACTCACGAAAAGAGAAAGGAACTGAAAGAATCGTAGCGACACTCGAAGACAGCCTTAGGAAGCTTGACAGTTATTTGCGAGGTTTAGATTTTGGGGAGTGAAGAACGCATGAACTTCCTCTTACGCCTCTAAGCCACGTTCTACTTTCAAACATTCGATCCCTTTGTTTCAACGGTACCCAGTCCAAAGGAATCCTGGCAGAGGCACACGCAAATACACGAAGAAACAAGCATTCTGCTAAAGTAAAAAAATCATCTAGGTATTTTACGTTAAAATTGGTGTCTTAATGAACACGTATGACTGTGTAATTCATAATGACTCTCATTTTATTTCTCTATACAAAAGTTATCTTTATAGGGATAAGAGCTATACATTTATCACACTACACTATTTACCACAGTTGAGAAAATGAGTGATCTAAGATCAGGAAAGAAGACATGAAATGTTGTGGTTCATTTTATTCTTAGTTTGAATTTTATTTTCCTTTGTTTCAAACTCAAGATCATACAATTCTTAAGGTAAACATTCGAACGCACCTACTCATCCCCGATTACTGCTTAAGTCAATCAAAAACAAAGGAAAACAAGACATTAACCAAGGATGAAATTAAACCACAACACACACGTACATGCAATATTTTCCTGTAGTCTTGAGTAATTCACCAAGGAAGTTCAACAAAATGTAACAGACGACTATGCGTAATGAAAAAGTACTAGCTAGCTACAAGCGATATTGAATCAATAGAATCTAGTTTGACGCTGGATTGAAAGGTAAATCAAGTCAACTATGCAATCTTACTTAATACTCTCACTTTTAGTACAAGACTGAGTACAGAGGTAACAAGAGGTAAATCAATGGCGGATTGCACAGTAAAAAAAAAAAGCATTTGCCCACCCTAACTTGACCGTAAGACGCTGCAATAAGGTGTGTAATAAACATCTAATGAAAACTGTTTTTCTACTTAAATAACTGTCTATTGACTATTTTCGAATCCCCAATAATACACTCTGTTTGTCCCATAAAATTTTGCGCAAGTTATTGTTTTCAAATGTTCTTGGAAATACAGTAAAACCTCGTGTATAAGGACCTAGATTTTTCCAACTTAGCCTAAATAGGTTCTTATGCAAAATGAGATAGAGTGGGATTTTAGGCTACTTAGGTTCTTAAATAGGTTCTTAATTTGACAAGGGGATTAGCGATCAGCACAGATAACTACCACAGGACATATGTGATATGGAATATATTGCTGTATTAAATAGTTATCTAGAATACAGTTTAGATGATAACCATACAGTAAATTTATCGTTCCAAAGTACTAGCATGCATGTCTTTCATACTGCAGTGTCCATAAAATGCTGTGTTGGCAAAGACATGATATGGTTTTCATTTTAGTTTATTCCTTGAATCTTACTGACTGAAACCTAGGTAAAAGTTTTTATCTATATTTATTTTTCATCTGTGCCTTCATTTTTGTAAAATGAGAACCTATTGAAAATTTTAGGCTAAATAGGTTCTTATGGAAAGGGGGTTTAAAATGGAAATTTTTGCCTAACAGGTTCTTAAATTTTAGGTTCTTATACGCGGGTTTTTACTGTATGCAGTCCTGCCAGAAGCAACCGAAAACAATAGTTTATGCAACATTTGGGGGGAAAAACAGACTGCATTATGGCGTATTCGAAAATGGGGAATTGATTTGTTGACTTATTTATTTTAAGTCTTGGACTTTTTCACCGTTAATAGAGATCCTTATATCACTTGTAATGGGAATGATTAGAAATTTGTTGATTAGTATTTAAACCGTTTCACAGTTCTTTACGTCAGGCTTGTTTACACCTACATGTACATCTTCTTGAAAACGTTTAAGACGACTCTTAAACGTTTTGAATACGCTACGTATGGATGCGCACTCTTTTACAAAAAAGGAGAAAAAATCTCCGTTTTCAAAAATATCCCGATACGTGTAGACGAGGCCTTAGTTACAGGCATAAACAAGGAACCCCTGTGCAGTCCAGTGTCACGGACATACATTTTTTTCGGGATATTCAAAGTCTCGGAACTTGCCGGTTTATCCGTGCTAAGCAATGGATTGAGCATCAACCGAGTGAATCGGCATCCTTGCCCATTATGACGGTTCCAAATTTGCGCCCCGAGTAAAGCCGCGAAATCCTTAACGGTATTGCGTTTATGTCCTCTTCTACGGTTTTCTTTATCGCTTGTGTAAACATAGTCCTACGTCATACCTGTAGATAAGGTATAAAGCTTCGAAAAAACTGGCACCAAAAAACGCACAACTTGTTTTGCAACATCGCTGCAAAACGAGTTGAAAAGCTATGTTGTTCGTTTTATCACCCACGTTCAAACCTCTCTTGCAACAAATCAGGTTGTTGCAAGTTGCGCTAATACTGACTTTTGATTGGTTGAAATTTCGCGGGAGTCAAGCCATACATGAATTTACGTCACTTGCTGCAAAGCAAAAGTTTACCTTTGGCCTGTAAAACGCGCAATATATACAGATTCCTTTGCAAAAAGTAGAACTTCTCTCTACTTTCTGCAACAACTTTTAGCAACCTGTAACAACCTGATTTGTTGCAGGGCAGGTTTGATTCGTGGGTGGTAAAACGCGCAAAATCGCAATTCAACTCCTTTCTCAGCAATGTTGCAAAATAGGTTGCAAGTCTTTGTTGCCCATTTTACCGTACCCTTAGCTACATGTACCTAAGCAGCATCTAACTTTTTGTATATTGTAGCAGTATGTGTGTTTATTCCACAAAGTAATCAAAATGGATCAATAATTATTCTATATGGTTATCATGTTATGGTAAATTTTAGTTATTGCTACCTGATGAAGATCTAAACTGAAGCTCAGCAAACTTGAAACAAAATATACTCTCTGCTTATAACAACCGAAACTATGGAAAGAGCGCGCTTTGCATTTTTTATTATATGACAATATGAGTTATTAACCTGGAAAATATTAAGCTCAGTTTCAAGGGAACGACTGCAGTGACGGCATTTTCTGTTTTCAAGACTCACGTACTGTTAATAGTGACAAAACCTC